TTTTAAAATATAATTTTGATCCGTTTTCGGTGTCTTTGGTCATGATTTTTGTTGTTAACTATATTATTCACAGCACTACCAGCGAACAGGCATACTCTGGCGCCCGGAATTCTGGGTTTTCTGATTATGCGTGTCTCAGAATGCTGCAAATGCCATTTCCGGAATTCAAATTAAAAAATTTTCTGTGCCTTCGGCACGAGCTCTCGATATTTCATAAAGTGTCCACCATTTGCACACACGGTGGCTTGAAAGGTCTTAAAATTGTTTATTCTACCGATAAATAAAGGTTTTTTTATTGACTGGGATTTCAATAACTCGGACTGGGATTTCTAATAAAAATCCAACTGGGACTGGGATTTTGTCAAAATTTCAGGTGGGAAATGGGATTGGGACCCCCCTTCAGGACCCTCTTTATTGGACAAATTTTCGATTAAAAACTACTTTCTCAGCAAGTTTAACTTAAGAATAAGTCATTATCCAGAAAAATATCTATTTCTACAAATATTGTTGTGTTAAACAAGGTTTTTGTGCCAGCCCGGTTATCCGGGCTAGTGACTTTACATGGACAAATTTCAGTCCAGCTGACTGGACGCCCCGTTTGAGTCGAGTGGGATCCCAGCTAAACGGGCTGGCCCGGTTGTCATGTAAAGTGAAATTGTTTTGTGTTGGAAATGACTATGAAGCCGGGCGCCCCATTTAAGCGGGCCAGCCCTGCAAACCAGGCTCATATAAACAGCCCCTAATCTACCGTAATCTCTGTAATAAATCCCCTTTCCCAGGAGGCTACCTTTCAGGCACCTCTGAAGGTAAGTAGGATAGAAGAGAGAAGGCTTAAAAAAGGCAGGAGCTTATTTTTCATCTGTAAAAGGATAGGATAATTTTGTTTATAAAGATAAATTTGTGTACAGAAAATTAATAAATCCTAGCCGAAGGAGTTTGTCGGTTAACCGAGTTAAATCCGAGTCCGAGTCAAATGTCCGAGTCACTGTTTAGCGGTCTTTGTAGTTCAATGACTTAGTGCCCTAACCCTACTCCTAACCCTATTCGATTGTGAATTTTATTCAATTTCGTCTCTTTTTACCTGACTCGGACGTTTGACTCAGGCTTGACTTAGTAAATGGATATCTTACTCTTAGCTGAAAACTTCTGTGTTTTTTCTGTATAAACAGAGAGGGGAATAGACCTTATGCATAATGACGTCACAAGGCTTGATGCCTGGGAAGAATGCTGGTCTCAGTAGTCATCACCCGGGAAATTTAAACAATTCAAATTTCCCGGGAGATGACTACTAAGACCAGCATTCTTTGCGGGCATCAAGCCTTGTGACGTCATTATGCATAAAGTCTATTAATAAATATCTTTGTCTAGAGGAGGTGAGAGGTTTATTTAATTAAAGAAGGTTTAATAGAGTGATTACCAGCGAATCTAGTGCATGCTGGAAGGCACAAGCCATGTTCCACCGGTAAAATTTTGAAAACTAGTCTCTAACCCTAATCTAATCTTCCTAATCTAAATCTGATCTGATCCTAATCTACTAATCTGACGACCTTTTTTAAAACTTTAAACGCCCCAGGCAGCCGTAATGCCTTGGGAACGAGGTTGCTACCGGAAGGTAGGCATTACTGTATTGTGTAAAAAATTCTAAATCCAGTCCAAATCCATTCCGGGTTTCTACCGTAACAATACACATGGAGAAAACCTTTTGACCTTCTATACGTGAAAAGATTGGAACCTGGGCAATTTGGGGCAGGACGACCCACTCCCTGCCCAAAGATTTGAGAGTTTGACAATTACTTTGACAAATACTTGACAATTTTTGCCCGTCTGCATATTATTTTGCGCATACAGAGTTTGGGGTCAGCAGTGGTTGTTCAACGAAAACAGGATATTGATTCATGATGTCTCGTTGTTCATGAGTTGGGGTCAGCGGTTAGGGTTAGAGTCAGGATAAGGATAGGGCTCAGCATTCATAAACAGCGAGACATATAATTTATAACAATTAATTTTTAATCAGGATACTGTGCCAATTAATGTTTAATCGGCACGGTTTCTAACCAATCAGAATCGAGTAAATTAACCCACTTTGGCATTCTGCGAGCGGTGAGATGCCGCCCACAAAAACGAGGAGTTTTTCACAAGACCAGACCAGTACGTTGACGCGTGGATGCTCATAACAGGTTGCAGACGCGCGATATTCAATCTGCAAGCATTTGTAAGATGTACCTGGTCACTCGGACGTGGACAAATATATGTTACCAAGACGGAAAGTGCTCAAATGCCGCTTCATGTCTGACGGCTGTCCAGCCTGACCTGTCTTTCAAGCTAGACGTGCGCTACCAGCAGCAACTGAAGTTGAAGCAGAAATCGGTGAACAAAAAGATACTGATGTGGCACCCCGACGTTGTGGTTGTGTTGAAACGAGCCCGTAGTATTGTGCGCTAGTGAATCTACGTGTTTTTTGGTACATTTGTGTCTGTGTGTTAGTCGGTGTATGCAGGGCCGTAACTAGGCGCGATAATTGGGGGGGGGTGTATATTAATATATTCATGTTCACATACCGTGAAAACAATCGCTTTCAAAAGAAATCCGTCGGGCAGAACACGAATATATGAATATGCACCCCCTCAATTATCGTGTCTAGGTACGGCCCTGGTTGTATGTGTTTGCCTGCCAGCACGATATCTTAAAAAAATATCAAACGTATTAATACGAAAATTTGTGTAGCAAATGGACATTGCCCAAGGACAAATTGATTAAATTTTGGTTAAATTTGGGTGAAAATTGGATAAGAAATTAACAAAACCTTTGTCTTGCTTTGCCGGGTAGAGTAAACTGAATGCGTAATTAGCACATAGTATAATCTGGTATAATTTATGCATGATACAGAACTATTTCGCTGGCGGAGATTTGCAGTCTCTGAGGACTCTGAGTAGCCTGAAAACAGACCTACGTTTCGCCCGCCCTGAAAATCGCGGGTCGAGGGAAAGGGCGAAACGTTGGTCTGTTTCCAGGCTAGTCTCCGAGTGGCCTGTACTCCAGTTTACTTATTTTTTGTTCAGTTCAATTAGACAGAATATTGCAGTACAATATCTGCTGAATTAGGTAAGTTTATACAGAATATAAAAATTCCTTTTAAAAAAATTAAAACTGCCTGATGGAAAGCCAATGTCATAAAATTTGTACAAGTTATGCTATATACTAAATTAAGGAGCTTAATTATTCAATTAAATTTCACACCATTTCAGGGGGGGGGGCAAGGGGGGGGGGTCTCGTCACGAAAATCATTTTTCGATTTCACGAGTCACGAAAAACAAAATTTCATTTTCACGATTTTAGAAGCACAGAAGCGTAGCAAAGTCTGAAACCATTTAACACATACTGACTTTAATATTAGAGCCGTTTAAAGGACTATGGAAATCATTGCGAGGTATTACGAAACATTACGAGCGTCGTACGATGGTTCACGATGTTTACGAAGAGGTACGAAGGTATACGATAACGACGTTTACCGATAAAACGAAGAAACCTCAAGAAAGACAACCGCGGGAAGCAAATTTATTCATTTTTTCCCCATAATATTAAATTTGGGGCGAGTTCTAAACGTAAACATTCACAAGTTAGGGTAAAATATTGGTAAATTCAAGACCCTAGCTAGCCTTTTAGCTCTTCACGATTCACGCCACGCATATTAATCACGATTCACGGAATGGCATTTCTTTAAATCACGAATCACGAAGCACGAATAATTGCTAATCACGAGTCACGAAAATACCCTTGCCCCCCCCCTCATTTCAGTCAGGGCGTTTATAAGATAGGGCGGCGAAACGCCAGTAATTCGCGTGAAACATGTGTGATGCAAATTAGGACTGGGGCTAGCGGGGAAGGCGCGAAATTTAAATCAAAACAAAATATTGATGCGAAACTCGAAGACACTTTTTAAATCTCTTATTTTGCCGAAATTATGCAGTCGATCGTTGCCATATTTTGCCATCTGGTTATTTACGTTTTTTACAATTGACATGGCATGGTTCAAGACAATCGTGAAAACAAAACTACGAAAATTTTGCACATGAAAGCCGAACATCATAATGGATTCCCTTACGCGTTTTTCAGGATGCGTAAATAAATTACTTATTTTATATCTCAAAAATAAGCCAGAACTTAGCTTTTTTAAATGCATGTTAGCAAAGTACAAATCTTTATTCCTCTTAAATTTCATGGCGTAATTTTTTGAACTTTTTTTGCAATAGCTTGCTGAATACAGCATAACAAATTGATTACAGTTGATAAATTTTCCAGGTTCGTATAGTTTTAAAATTTACGAATATAAAAGAAATTTAAACGTTTTTTGGCCACTCTTATTCTTAAATCGACAAAGGAATACTTGTTCGTCTTACCAGCATGTTCATCCTTGACTAGAAGCCAACATATAACGAGTAAATGAGAATTGTTTTCAAACAAGTGTTCGGGTTCATCGTCACTGCGAATTTTGCTTTTCCAACCGGCCTTCGATTTGTAAAATATTAATATCTTGTACTGTCACCAGAACTTAGCAAATCCAAGGACGACTAGTCCATTATCAGATCTTTCTTTGGTAAAAATATTGTCACTTAATTTTTTGAACTTTTTTTGCAATATGGGAACAAACACGACACAACGGAAAAATATTCGGCAGACATTTCGAATTATGCCGCGCGAACCGGAAGATTGAGGCATGAGGCAAGCCGCAAGTCAAGACACGGGACACAGACACAAAATTAAATACCGACGGCGACGATGAAAATTGCGAAATTTATTTATTTATTGCAAAATAAATTTAAAAAGGGTAAACAAACACTTTGCATTTTAAATTAACTATACAACACAGATAATATAACTAAAAAGACACTGAGAAAAACAAGCCAAAACGACTTTGATATAAATTGGTTCAATATCAAATATCTAAAAGTACACATTTAAATAGACATAAAATTTGGTCTAGCAAGTTTTGTATATATCTTTAGTTGGTAGTTTATATTATAATTGTCTACTCTTATAACTATGTCAAATAATTTGAAAAGAACGGCTTCACCAGTGAGAGGATACAATGATACTCCCAGGGCCATAGCGAGGGCGGGGGTATTGGACCCCCCCCCCCCAACATTTTTAGAATCAACATTCGGAGAATCAGGCTGGCCATTTGGAAAATTACGGCAATAATATCAGTAGAACAAAATTTTAGTTGTTAAACAGAGAAAATATTATAAAATTGTATTGTCAGTATAAACTGATTTATGAATTATGGCATTTATGGGGAGGTACTGCAGCCCTCCCAATAATTTGGTAATTATTCTTTTTTCAAAATCATGCAGACCTTTATCATTTAAATAATATACCTTTAAAATACTGACAATTGATTAATTTTAAGCGGCTACATTGTCCAAAAAAAAAATCATATTACCCATACTTTCCTGCAACTTCTCAAATATACAGTATAGTTAATTAAATACGTCTTCGGCCGTTTGGTACTACTAAATTGTAAGCAAACTGTAAATTTCGACAAACTAAAACGCTGTTTTCTGACCATCAGAATTCTGTCAAAACTTCCCCAAAGTCCAGGAAATGGCATTTCAGAGACTCTAAATTTAAAAATTTCCTCGGGCCTCCAATTACAATTTACAATTTATAATAGCTTTATTGGCATGACCTTAAATTACAGGTATTGCTAAAGCATAATAATCTAAATATAAATAATCTAAATACAAATAGTCTAAATATAGTAAAAAGGTAGAAATTCCAAGTTTACAAATAGTAAGAAGTACATGCATTACAATAACTATATAGTCAATCCCAATAACAAATAACAGATAACCAATAAGATCTATTTACAAGATATAGGAAAAATTTTCATTCAACTTTCTAAGATTAGAGAAATAGTATGTTAAGAATTAACTGACAGCAATCCCAATTTCAAGGTATCTATTTCTTTCCGTAAAACAGGAAGAAATATATTTCGACAGAGATAAAATAGTCTCGTGCTCTGTAGATTTCATTATATCTACTAATTGTGCCTGATCTATGATAATGGTTAGCTTGTTTCTGAGAGTGGTGTAAAAATTCTCTCTTTGGTTGCTGTAGGCTTTACACCAATTTGCAAAATGGTATTCATCTTCCACTTCCCCTGACTGGCAGATTTCACACAGTCGTTCTTCCCTTGGTATTTTTTGATAGCGACCTAACTCAATCATTAATTTGTGGTTGCTCACTCGAAATTTTGTGAGTGCTTTCCTTTCGGTTGGATTTTTTATTGTTGAAAGATATTTCTCTAGTTGGTATTCTGTTTTGAACGTGTTGTAAAACTTTAGTTTGGAGGAGTTTTCGAGTTTGTGTTTCCAAAAATTAAGATATTTTTGCTTTATGTTGTCATGGATAAAGCTTAGTGTTTGAATTGCGATTGATTCCAGTTCTGTTATTTGTGTGTTGCAGTTATAGGATTTCAAAATATCCATAATATTTCCATAGAACGAGGTAATTCGTTTGGAGTGTAAGTCTTTCGAGATAAGAAAAGCTTGTTTGGCAAGTGCTTCTTCAGGTAGTGAATTTAGATGAATAATGTATTTGAATAGTCGCTTGTAAATATTGATTATCAGTGGAAACTTTCCTAGTTCACCTCTGCAAGCAATATTTGTTGTTTTCTTCCCAACACCCAAGTATAGTTTGCAAAATCTCAAGTGTGTTTTTTCAATCTGAGAGTTATCCCAATTGTTAAAGTCATTTTTGATATAAGCACCCCACACTTCTGAGTTGTATAAAAGAATTGGTGATATTATGGTATCAAATATTTTGATAGCTAGTTTTGGGTTTAAATTGTGTAGATTGAGATGTCTTCTTATACTGTATAGGGCATGAAGTGCCTTTTCACCAAGTTGTTTCATAGCTAATGTGAATTTACCATTTGAGTTAAGCTTAATTCCTAGGTAGCAATATTCTTGTACAATTTCTATGGTATTGCTGTCTAATGTGAAGCTTGGTTTAGTCTTTTTCTTATTTCCTTTTTGAAAAATCATTACTTTTGTTTTCTTTAAGTTAACCTCCATTAGCCATTTACTGCACCAATTTTGGAGTTCATTTAGGCATTTTTGTAGTCCAAATCTTGATCTAGACAGGATGATCAAATCATCAGCATAGAGAAGACAGTTCAATTTTGAGCCATTTGGCAGTATGAAGGGGTCTGAGTCAGTATTATTAAATAATGTTGTTAGCTCGTTTATGTAAAGGTTGAATAAGAGTGGACTTAATGTGCATCCTTGGCGAACACCTTTGGAATAAGGGAAGAATGTTGTTCTGGATTTGGATAATTTGACTGCACATTTAGAGTTAGAATAAAGGCTCTTAATTAGACGATAAAAATTTCCCCCAATTTTGTATTTTAATAGTTTAGAGTATAGGCCTTCATGCCAGACAGAGTCAAATGCTTTTTTGAAGTCAACAAAGCATGCATAAATTTTATTGTTTTTGTTTTGGGTGACATGCTTATCAATTAACGTTTTTAGGGTGAAAACGTGATCGGCTGTTCTATGTCCTGATTGAAATCCAATTTGCGAATGGTGAACTAAATTATTTTCTTGTGTGAAATCATTCAATCGTTTATTTAGAATTAAACAGAAGAATTTGCCAATACAACTTGTCACACATATTCCTCTGTAGTTGTTAGGATCTTGTTTGTCTCCAGATTTAAAAATAGGGGTTAAAAGACCTTCGCACCATTTCTCAGGGAAAATTCCACACTCTAGAATCATATTAAACAATTTATGATAGCCTTTAAGCAGAATGTTCACACTAAATTTTATCATTTCGTTCCTTATCCTATCAGAGTAGGCAGATTTCTTATGCTTTAGTTTTGTAGCTGCACTTATAATGTCGTCTTCTGTAATTGGGTCATCAAGAGTGTTATTGTCATCAATGTTGTTTTCAAGAAGTTCTAAATTTTTAAGGATACCTTCTTGCTTGGGGCCTAAGTTGTGTTTTGTATGTAGATTTTCAAAGTGCGATATCCATTTTTGGTTGGTTATTTGTGTTGAGCTAGAAGAGAGATCATCACAGCTGTCACTCATGTTTTTCAGGTTTTTCCAGAATGAATTTGGGTCAGTCTCGGCAGCTATTTCCAAATCCTCGAGTTTTTTCTCATGAAAAATTTCTTTTTTATGTTTCAAGGTATCTTTATATATCTTTAGAGCCTCATGGTATTTCTTTCGAATTTCGGAGTTCAAGGGATCTCTGTGTTTTTGATTTGCTAGTTTTCTGACAAAGTGCCTTTTTAGACGACATTCTTTGTCAAACCATTTTTTGTTACATACATTTGTGATTTTATTTCTATATTTAGTCTTTTTAATTCTAAGTGACTTCTTAGCCGCATCTGAAATTATTTCTTGAAATTGATTAGAAAAGTTATTCAAACCTTCTTTGGTTGCAGGAGGGTTTGAATTAATTAATTCGTCAAGTTTTCTTTGAGTATAAGTTGATTTCAAGTTTTCCTTGAAAGTAGTTGCTGTGTTGATCTCCCATATAAACTGTAAGGGGAGCTTATGTGAAATTGTAGTGGTAGATGTATTTGTAGGAGTGGGATAAGTGGATTCTGGAGTGTTTTGTTGTTTTGTTCTGATCCATGTTAAGATTTGACTGTGGTCAGATAAATATGTTGGAGGTTTTACAGTGAAATGTTTAATATTTTGGATTAAATCTTGGTCACAGATGATGTAATCAACTAGACTGGTTCCATTTTTTCCATGGAAAGTTGGTTTACCAAATGAATCGCCTAGTGTTCTGCCATTTAAGATCCTTAAGTTACAGGTCTTACATAGCTCAATTAAACATTTTCCATGGTTGTTCACTGTGCTATCAAAATTCTCCCTATTTTTCGGGGTGTAGGATGTTTCGGTAATGTCACCTATAAAGGTACTTCCTTCTTTGGACACAAAATCTTCTAGTTTACTTGTGCGGGCATTGAAATCTCCTAGTAACATGATGTTTCCTTTTGTGGAGAATTCTGCAATATCATTTTCTAAATCTTTAAATATTTCTTCATCATAGTATGGTGATTTTTCTGGAGGAATATAAACACCACATATAAACAGGTCATGTGGGGAATCCAAAATTGATTTATCAATACGGCACCATAGGAAGTTTTTAGTTAATTTTTCAGTGTAAATCAGTGGCTGAAGTGTATTCTTAATTAACAATGTGATACCGCCTGATTTACGACAACTAGAATTTGTTTTAGGCGTTGCCGTACATGTAGATATTTCCTTGAAACCAGGAATGCTGTCAGTTTTGTTTGACCATGTTTCAACTAGAAAGATTAAATCATGATCTTTTATATTTTTTGTGAAATCAGAATTGCTTAGCTTATTGCCAAGTGTTCTATGGCTTAGACCGTTTATATTCCAGGCGCTAATAGTGATACTGCTGGAATTCATGTTTTGGATTAGAAAGATATATATATATATGTGGTTGATTTGGCTGACCTTTGATAAGCCAAATATATACTATATGTGTAAGTATAAAAAAATATATATTTTAATTGGTTTTGTTTGTGGCTTAGTCATGTGCACTCATGTGTATGTTTAGATATATGCATACACACAAGTCCCCATGAGTATTAGAATATGGTAAGATTATAGAATTTATGAGATGGTTTGATTACTTACAGTTTCTATTGAGTGAATCCATGAAGGATTTGAATTAGTTCTCTGAAGTGACGTGGTATATGGTTGCTGGCCATGGGTTTTGAGCTTGCGGCTTTTGTATTCCAGTCATTTGGATTTATTGATGGGTGTCGTTGTGATTGGATAGAGAGGTCATCGTGGTTTATATGTGTTGATTGCATAAGAGGTGAGATACTTGGATGAAACATGCTGTGTTGTGAATTATGGTATTGTGGTTTGGTGTGGTATGGGATCTGTTGGGTTGGGAAATGTTGGTGCCTTGCTGTCTTAATTCCTTTTCCAATTTTGGTTTGACTTTTGTTTGAAAAGAAGGCACCCTTCAAATTTCTGGCAAAAAGTTTAACACCTTTTCTGTTCAGATGCTTTCTATCAATCAGGATGTTGATGGATTGGAAGAGGTTGATATGTCTTACAAGTAAGACATTTGACTGTTTAGATATTGTTCTTTCCAGTTGTCGATTTAATATTTGGACTTGTGACAGGAGATGATCACTGCGAGGTAAGAGGCTGGATATAATAATCCTGCAACTAGGGTATTCTTTGCGGATGGTTTTTATCAGTTCTTCAATGTTGTCACTAACAGCTTTGTTTGGGATATGCTCAATGTCATTTGTTCCACAGTGGATGATTATATTCTTCGGGTTTGTAAATGTGTGCTGTTCTAGAATTTTGATCGCTTCGGCTGTTGTGGGACATCTGATATAGGATGTGGTTGCTCCTGGACATAGAAGGTTCATATCAAGATGTTTGCCATTTGAATCGCAGAGGATTACTGTTTCTGTTGTGATGATTTTCTTTTCAGCAGAGGGTGTCTTTTGTGGGTTGTAGTTTTTGTGTTCAAGTGGTGTAGTATCTGGGTTGGTGCAGGGAATAGTGTCTTCATGTTCATCCGTGAGGGAAGAGAAAGTGTTGCTGGTGGGGATGTTCGGTGTGAAGATAACTTTGTCATCTGACATTTTTGTCTCAGGGGTATTAGATTCTTGGAAAGTTGTTGTATTATTTGGGGAGTTGGGGTGTGAGGCATGTTCTTGGGCTTCATCAGATTCTACTTTCTGATCTGGCAATGGGCTTGATTTGGCTAATAGATGTTGTTCAATTTTGTTAAGTTTATTCTCAAACTCTTCTTGTTTCTTTATATTTTGCTGTTTGTTAAGAAGGTCATTTATTGCTTCTAGGGCAGCAAT